CCCCGATACCCCGTTATATACCCCTCCCTGTAAACCCCGATACCCCGCTGTATACCCCTCCCTGTAAACCCCGATACCCCGCTGTATACCCCTCCCTGTAAACGCCGATACCCCGTTGTATACCCCTCCCTGTAAACGCCGATACCCCGTTGTATACCCCTCCCTGTAAACCCCGATACCCCGTTGTATACCCCTCCCTGTAAACCCCGATACCCCGCTGTATACCCCTGCCTGTAAGCCGCGATACCCCGCTGTATACCCCTGCCTGTAAGCCGCGATACCCCGCTGTATACCCCTGCCTGTAAGCCGCGATACCCCGCTGTATACCCCTGCCTGTAAGCCGCGATACCCCGCTGTATACCTCTCCCTGTAAACCCCACCTAGTATAAACCCAATACCCTCTTTATATACCCCTCCCTGTGCCCCCCTAAAACCCAATACCCTGTTATATATGCCCCTCTGTAAACCCAATGTGCAATTATATGCCCCTCCCTGTGCCCCTATATAAACTCAACTTCACCTTATATACATCCCCAATATAATTAAAAAATGCACTTTATAACCCAATAACAGCTCCCCATGCCCTTGACATACCTCTCATTTGTACTTCTTCCCCAGTACGCCCTGATATGCCTCCTTATATTCTCCCAATATACCCCTATTCAATACCCCACAGGTACGTACCCTCCCCCTAAGGGGCACGACTGGCAGTTTAATGTTTTAGGGTAATGATGCAATGGGAAGGAGAGAAAAGGACGGACAAGAGAGGAAGGGTAGCAGCATTTTTGGTTAGGGAAAATATTACAGCTGTACTTCGGGAGGATGATTCTGGGAATATGTCTAGTGAAGTTAGAAAGGGATGATCACCTTGTTAGAATTATAGTATAGATCCCCCACCCCCAATAGTCAGCAAGAAGTTGAAAAGCAAATTTGTAAAGAGATCGCAGATATTTGTAAGAATGGTAGGGATGTAATGGCAGGGGAGTTTAACCTTCCAAATAGATTGGGACAGCCATAGCATTAAGGGCTTGGATGGAGAGGAATTTAAGTGCATACAAGAACATTTTTGTATTCAGTGTGTGAACATACCTACTAGGGAAGGTGCAAAACTTGACCTACTTTTGGGAAATAAGGCAGGGTAAGAGACTGAGGTGTCTGTGGGAGAGCACTTGGGGGGCAGTGATCATAATTCTGTTAGTTTTAAAATAGCTATGGAAGAGAATAGACCCGATCTAAAAGTTAAAGTTTTGGAGTAAGGCAGATTTTGACGGTATTAAGCAAGAGCGATCTAAAGTTAATTAGAAGAGACTATTCACAGGTAAAGGGACAGCTGGAAAGTGGGAGGCCTTCAAAAATTGCATAGTGAGAGTCCAGAGACAGTATGTTCCTGTTAGGTTGAAGGGCAAGGCTGATAGGTGTAGAGAATGTTAGATGACATTGAGGAATTGAGGCTCTGATGATACTGATGACTGATTTATTGTCACGTGTACCTAAGTACGGTGAAAAGTTTTGTTTACAAGCAGTACAGGCAGATCATACTAAGCTCTAGTCAAGAAAAAGGAGGCAAATGGTAGGTGTAAACTGCTGGGAAGAAGTGAATATCTCGAGGAGCATAAGGGCAGTAGGAGTATCCTCAAGAGGGAAATCAGGAGGGCAAACTGGGCTAAGGTGAATCCAAAGAGACTCTTAAGAATACATTAAGGGCAAAAGAGTAACTAGGGAGAGAATAGGGCCCCATAAAGATCACAAGGTCATCCATGTGAGGAATTGCAGGAGATGAGTGAGATACTAAATGAGTAGTTCATGTCAGTATTTACTGTGGAGAAGCATACGGAAGCTTGAGAACTTGGAGAAATAAATAGTGATATCTTGAAAAGTGTCCATATTGCAAAGGAGGAGATGCTGGATGTAATGCATAAAGGTGAATAAATCCCCAGGACCTGATCAGGTGTACCCTAGAGGTTTGTGGGAAGCTAGGGAAGTGATTGCTGGGCCCCTGGCTGAGATATTTGTATCATCGATAGCGACAGACGAGGTGCCAGAAGACTGGAGGTTGGCTAATATGGTGCCATTATTTAAGGAAGGTGGTGAGGAAAAGCCAGGGAACTACAGACCGGTGAGTCTGTGGGTAAATTGTTGAAGAGGATTCTGAGGAACAGGATTTACATGATAGTCAACATGGCTTTGGGCATGGGAAATCGTGTCTCACTAACTTGATTGAGTTTTTTGAAGTGACAAAGAAGATTGATGAAGGCAGAGCGGTGGACGTTATCTATATGGAATCAGCAAGGTGTTTGACAAGATTCCACATAGTAGACTGATAGTAAGGTTAGATCACATGGAATACAGGGAGAACCAGAGAAATACAAAATTGGCTTTAAGGTAGAAGACAGAGGTGGGTAGTGGAGGGTTGCATTGGGGTCTGGAGGCCTGTGACCAGCGGTGTGCCACAAGGATTGGTGCTGGGTGCACTGCTTTTCATCATTTATATAAATGATTTGGATGTGAATGTTAAGGAGATATGGTTAGTAAAATTGCAGATTACACCAAAATTCTGTGTAGTGGACACAGTGAAGAAGGTTACCTCAGAGTACAGTGAGAGCTTGATCAGATGGACCATTGGGCCGAGGAGTGGCAGATGGAGTTTACTTTACATAAATGTGAGATGCTGCATTTTGGAAAGGCAAATAGGGCAGGATTTATACACTTAATGGTCAGGTCCTGGGGAGGGTTGCTGGACAAAGAGACCTTGGAGTTCAGGTTCATAGTTCCTTGAAAGTGGAGTTGCAGGTAGATAGGATAGTGAAAGATGTTCTTAAACTTGAAAAGGTTTAGAAAAGATTTAATAGGATGTTGCAAGGGTTGGAGGCTTTAAGCTATAGGGAGAGGCTGATTGGCTGGGGCAATTTTCCCTGGAGCATCAGAGGCTGAGGAGTGACCATACAGAGGTTTATAAAATCATAAGGGGTATGAATAGGGTGAATACCAAGGTTTTTCCCCAGGGTAGGGGAGTCATAAACTAGAGAGAATAGGTTTAAGGTGAGAGGGGAAAGATTTTAAAGAGACCTAAGGGGAAATGTTTTCCAAACAAAGGGTGGTACGTGTATGGAATGAGCTGCTAGAAGAAAGTGATGGAGGCCGGTACAATTACAACATTTAAAAGACATCTGGATGGGTATATGGATAGGAAGGGTTTAGGGGGATATGGGCCAAATTCTGGCAAATGGGACTAGATTAATTTAGGATATAAGAACATAAGAACTAGGAGCAGGAGTAGGCTATCTGGCCCTTCGAGCCTGCCCCGCCATTTAATAAGATCATGGCTGATCTTTTTTGAGACTCAGCTCCACTTACCCGCCCACTCACCATAACCCTTAATTCCTTTACTGATCAAAAATTTATCTAGCCTTGCCTTAAAAACATTCAGCAAGGTAGCTTCAACCGCTTCACTGGGCAGGGAATTCCACAGATTCACAACCCTTTGGGTGAAGAAGTTCCTCCTGACCTCAGTTCTACATCTGCTTCCCTTTATTTTGCGGCAATGCCCTCTAGTCTTAGTTTCACTTGCTAGCGGAAACAACCTCCCTGTCTCCACCTTATCTATTCCCTTCATAATCTTATTTGTTTCTATAAGATCTCCCCTCATTCTTCTGAATTCCAGTGAGTATAATCCCAGCCTACTCAGTCTCTCCTCATAATCCAACCCTCTCAACTCTGGAATCAACCGAGTGAATCTCCTCTGCACCCCCTCCAGTGCTAATATATCTCTTCTCAAGTAAGGAGACCAAAACTGCATACACTACTCCAGGTGTGGCCTCACCAGGACCCTATACAGCTGCAGCATAGCCTCCCTGTTTTTAAACTCCATCCCTCTAGCAATGACAGACAAAATTCCATTTGCCTTTTTAATTACCTGCTGAACCTGCAATCCCACCTTCAGCAATTCATTCACAAGTCCCTCTGTACAGCAGCGTGCTGCAATTTTTTACCATTTAAAACATAGTCCATTTTGCTGTTATTCCTACCAAAATGGATGACCTCACACTTATCAACATTGTACTCCATCTGCCAGACCTTTGCCCACTCACTTAGACTATCTATATCCCTCTGTAGACTTTCAGTGTCTTCTGCACACTTTGCTCTATCACTCACCTTAGTGTCAGCTGCAAGTTTTGACACACCACACTTAGTCCCCAACTCCAAATCATCTATGTAAATTGTAAACAATTGAGGTCCCAACACTGATCCCTGAAGCACTCCACTAGCCACTGACCGCCAACCAGAAAAACACCCATTTACACCTACTCTTTGCTTTCTACTGGTCAACCAATCCTCTATCCATGCCAATACATTACCTGTAATACCGTGCAACTTTATCTTATGTAGCAGCCTTTGGTGTGGCACCTTGTCAAATGCCTTCTGGAAATCCAGATACGCCACATCCACAGGTTCCCCATTGTCCACCATGCAAGTAATGTCCTCAAAGAATTCCACCAAATTAGTTAAACCTGACCTACCCTTCATGAACCCATGCTGGGTGTTTCCAATGGGACAATTTATATCCAGATGTCTTGCTATTTCTTCCTTAATGATAGATTCAAGCATTTTCCCCACTACCGAGGTTAAGCTAACTGGCCTATAGTTACCTGCTTTTTGTCTACTTCCTTTTTTAAACAGTGGTGTCATATTGGCTGTTTTCCAATCTGTGGGAACCACCCCAGAGTCCAGCGAATTTTGGTAAATAATTACAAGTGCATTTGCTATTTCCCCCATCACCTCTTTTAGTACCCTGGGATGCATTTCATCAGGGCCAGGAGACTTGTCTACCTTTAGCCCCATTAGCTTGCCCAGCACTGCCTTCTAAGTGATAATGATAGTTTCTAGGTCCTCGCCTGCTATAACCTTCTTGCCATGAGTTTTCGGCATATTATTTGTGTCTTCCACTGAAGACTGACACAAAATAACTGTTTAATGTCTCAGCTATTTCCTCATTCCCAGTTATTAAATTGGCCTTCTCATCCTGTAAAGGACCAATGTTTACCTTCGCCACTCTTTTACGATTTATATATTTATAGAAACTTTTGCTGCCTGTTTTTATATTCTGAGCTAGTTTACTCTCATAATCGATCTTACTTTTCTTATAACTTTTTTTGTGGCTTTCTGTTGGCCTTTAAAGATTTCCCAGTCTGCTAGTTTCCCACTACTTTTTGCTTTTTTGTATGTGTTTTTTTTCAATCTGATACTTTCCTTTATTTCCTTAGACATCCAAGGCTGGCTCTCTCTTTTCCTACAGTTCTTCCTTATCACTGGAATATACTTCTGTTGAGCACTGTGAAAAATTGTTTTGAAAGTCCTCCACTGTTCCTCAATTGACCCACCATAAAGTTTTTGCTCCCATTCCATCTTAGCTAACTCCTCCCTCATTCCTTCATAGTCTCCTTTGTTTAAGCACTGGACATAGGTACTGGATTTAACCTTTTCACGCTCCATCTGTATTTTAAATTCGATCATACTGTGATCGCTCCTTCCGAGAGGATCCCTAACTGTGAGATCATTAATTATTCCTGTCTCATTACACAGATCTAGATCTAGGATAGCTTGCTCCCTCGTAGGTTCCATTACATATTGTTCAAGGAAATTATCGCGGATGCATTCTATGAACCCCTCCTCAAGGCTGCCATGACCGACCTGGTTTGACCAATCTACATGTAGATTAAAATCCCCCATGATAATTGCTGTACCATTTTTATATGCATTAGCTATTTCTATGTTTATTGCCTGCCCCACCACGATGTCATTATTTGGTGGCCTATAGACCACACCTATCAGTGACTTCGTCTTGTTATTCCTAATTTCCACCCAAATGGATTCAACGTTTTGTTCAGTAGAACCTATATCATCTCTCACTACTGCCCTGATATCAACCTTAAAAATCAGATCAACACCACCTCCCTTACCTTCCTGTCTGTCCTTCTGAACAGTTTGATACCCCTGGATATTTAACTCCCAGTCATGACCAGCCTGTAACCATGTCTCTGTAATGGCCACTAAATCATACCCATTTGCCATGATTTGCGCCATCAACTCATCCATCTTGTTTCGAATGCTCCGAGCATTCAGATAAAGTGCCCTTATGCCAGTTTTTGCACCTTCTTTTTGGGTCCTATTACCTCCATTACTAACAGCTCTTGAGTTCTCCTTCCCTTTAACTTTTTTCCTAATTTTCAACCGAGTTGAAGCTTCCTCGTCACTTGCTAACCTGCTGCTTTACGTTACATTAATTGTTATTCTCCCTCTACGCTCACTTCTCCCTTCCCCCCCACTTACTAGTTTAAAGTCCTATTAACTACCCTACTTACCCTTTTCGCCAGAACACTGGACCCAGCCCTGTTCATGTGGCGTCCATCCCAGCGGTATAAATCCCTCCTGTCCCAGAACTTATGCCAGTGCCCCATGAAAAGGAAACCCTCTTTTCCACACCACTCTTTTAGTCACGTGTTTACTTCCCTGATCCTCGCCTCCCTATGCCAATTTGCACGTGGCTTGGGCAGCAATCCAGAGATTATGACCCTTGAAGACCTGTTTTTTAATTTTGTTCCTAGCTTTTCATAATCCCGAAACAGGTCTTTTTTCCTAGTCCTCCCTATGTTGTTGGTACCTACGTGGACCACAACAACTGGATCCTCCCCCTCCCTCTCTAGTATCCTCTCAAACCGGTCAGATATGTCTCGCACCCTGGCACTGGGCAGGCAACACACCATGTGGGATTCTCTATCCTGCTTGCAAAGGATACTGTCTATCCCCCTGATGATGGAATCCCCTACAACTATAGTCTGTCTTTTTGCTCCCCCCTCTTGAATGGCCTCCTGGACCCGCAGCCCTGTTACTCATCCACGCAGGGAGCAAGTGCCTCATACCTATGGAACAATGTCAAGGGCTGCGGCTCCTGTGTTCCTGTCTGCAGGATCCCTCTATCTGCCTCACTTGCAGTCACACACTGCTGTCCCTGCCCGCCGATCGAATTAACATTAGTTAATCTACCAGGTGTGACTGCCTCCTGGAACACAGCATCCAGGTATTTCTCCCCCTCCTGGATGTGCCGCAGTGTTTGGAGTTCGGATTCCAGCTCATCAATTTTGAGCCGGAGCTCCTCAAGCAGCCAACACTTGCTGCAGATGTGGCCACTGCCGTTCTCAATGGGATCAGCTAGCTCCCACATCATACAGCTACAACACATCACCTGGCCTGCCATCTCTACTTAGTTAATTATTTAAAATTAATTAGTTTTTTTTAGTTTTGCAGTGTTTTCTGCACCAGTAAGTTTACTCCGTTAAATACTCAAACAGACTCCAGCCTTGCCTTCCGACCCGCTCCCAGAGGATTTGGCAACTGGGTGACCATCCCGAAAGATAACAGAGATGAGGGAAAAAAAAATGCAAATAGCTTACCTGCTCACCACACTTAGTCGTTATTATTAGGTTAGAGGAGGTGGAAGGGTGGGAGACACTATGCGTGTATTGTCTTGGGTATTAGTTAACTCCCAAATTTATTGGGTGGAAGCTTACGTTCCCAGGCTGCCCTCACGCTTTCTCCCGGACTCCCGCCGCTGAAACAACTGAAAGGCCACAGTCATGCGATTTAAGACTTTTATAATCGAAAAGCTTACCTCCCCAGGCTGCCCTTACGCTTTCTCCCAGACTCCCGCCGCTGAAACAACTGAAAATATCTGGTCAGCATGGATGAGTTGGACCGAAGGGTCTGTGTCCGTGTTGAACATCTTTATGACTCTAATATAACCCTCTCCTAATATCTCTGTATAAACTTCAATACCTTTTTATATGCCCCACAATAAACCATTCACCTATATTCTCTCCCAATAAACCCTTTTATGCTCTAAGTACTCCATTTATACATCCCTTATGTACCTCTCCCTATGTATATGCGATATGTTCCACTCATGTGCCATGTATTTGAATGGAATTTGAAGACAATCTATTTGAGGATGCCATTTTCGACAGTTTATTTAGTACTTGTTGTACTCTGTGTTCTGTCCCTAGTGGATGGCAATTACTGTTTGACCTGTGGCAGCGACAAAACTCTAAAATTGTGGAATCCACATCGAGGAACACTCCTGAAGACCTACAGTGGCCATGGATATGAGGTTCTGGATGCTGCTGGGTAAGGCTACTCTGTCACTCTGTCCCCAGTTTACACAGTGTGCAGGCTGACCTTCATAGGTTCGCTTATCCATGCATCATTTATTGCACACCTTTTCACTGGCACCACTTTTCTGTGTTTTTAAATGCTTCCTGTTTGGGGTAACTGTGCACACTGCATGGTGATTAGATTTGCGGGTAATGTAAAGATATACTGCTTGTACATTCCACTCTGTTCAGTATTTGTGAAAATCACCAATTGCAACATTCACCGGGAATACTTTCCTTGCGACGGTCACCCAGTCCAAAGTATAATGTTTCCCCTCTCCATCAGGTGTTAGCAGCATCTTAGTCCTGAGCCCTTGTCTTCCCAGAGACACAGCTTCTACAGCAAGACATTGACAAAGCTGTAGAAATTGATTTGATGGACTGTATGGCCTTGTTTACTGAACTGGTTAATTTTCATCATCACCTACCCTGAAACACTGGTTTACCTTTTACATTTCTAATAGCTTTGATATTGATGTGACCCCCTTCCCCCAGCCTGTGCATTGCATGCCTTTTGCCTTCAGGGTCAGCTGGTCATCCACCCAATGACCTTTGCCCTTGTGTGGGATGTGGGGTCTAGCATCATGCTGAGGATTTGTACACCTTCCTGCTGCAAATTCCCTTTTATTGGCTTGATTTCTCATCTCCCTCAGATCCTGCGACAATAGCCAGATTTGCTCATGTGGATCCGATAAAACTGTTGTCCTCTGGGATGTGGCTACAGGACAGCTGGTCCGGAAATTCAGGGGTCATGGAGGGGTAAGAAAGCTGTTTAGTAAATAAATGGAACACTAGAAGATCTTGAGGCATAAACAATCAAAGGTGTTCCCTGCTGGAAGTGTTATAGTGCTCGGGGCAGACACAGAGACTGGGGGGACAGTCAACATACTGACCGTTTGCTATCTCCTGCTACTGTGGAGTTGTGATCAGTGACTCTGCCTATAGCCTTCCCACCTCCACCTCATATTGCTCCCCCCTATATCTGCAGCAAGTGTTTGCAGCTTGAGCAACTCCAGCTCTGAGGTGAGGAGCTGGAATCTGAGTTGCGGAGATAGCACCCTTGTCAGGGAAGTGGGGAGTAACCTGGACGTTTCTCCAGAGGGTGGTCATATCCTTGCATTACTTGGTCTGTGATCAGGAATGGGAAGGATGTGGTTGTGGCTGAGCCAGGTTTGGGAACCTGTGGGGCAACTCTTGAGGAGCCTTTGTCCTTGCAACTGTCCAACAGTTACAAGGAGTGGTCGGGAGTGGAACAGCAGGAGGATGAGCAAAGTGACCAGGACAACTTAGCACAGGGACCTGTTCATGCTGAGGGTTTGAGGGGTTTGGGAGCATGGCAAGAGGAACATAGCTGTGGTAAAGGACAGTATATTCAGGAGGATAGATACAGTTCTCTACAGCCGTGAGCTTGAGTCTCGAAAGCAATGTTTCCTGCCCAGTGTCAGGGTTAAGGACATCTCCTTGGGACTGGAGAGGAACCTGAGTGGGAGGGGATGGATTCCGCTGTCATCCCCATTGGGACCTGTGACATTGATAGGACTGTAAACTAAAAACGGGCTCAGGGTAATTAAAATCATGGAGTTAAATGTATGGGGGAGGAATGGTTTCAGTTCATGGGGCACTAGCAGCACCACTGGAGTAGAAGCAAGTTGTTCTAGTCAGACAGAACCACATTGGGACCACTGTCCAGGCAAATCATGTAACTAGGGCTAGAGAGAATGCTTCAAACTAGTTAGAAGAGGGGAAGGTTAGGAGAGGGGGCCCCTGTACGCTTACGAAGCAAAAAAAAGATATAATTTCATGGCAAGTATTTTAGAATGATACCCAGAGTGGGACAGGAAGGAACAGTGTACTAGAATAAGACAAAGCAGCAATAGGCCAAAGCTGGGATAACAAATTGTAAAATGCAAAATTAATGGCTGTTTACTTAAATGCATGTTGTATTCGGAACAAAATAAATGAATTACTGTCACAAATAGAGGTTAATGGATACAATCTTACAGACATGGTTAGAAAGAGACCAAAGCTGGGAACTGAATATTCAGAGGCATTCAGTGACATTTCCGAAGGGAAGGTGGTGGAGCAGCTTTGTTAGTAAGAGATGGAATAAGTGCGATAGCAAGAAATAATCTTGGATCAGAAGATGTAAAATCCATATGAATGGAGGTAAGATAAAATAGAGAAGTAGACTTTGGGAGGGGTAGTTAATAAGTCCCTAACAATGGCTATTCTGTAGAACAGAATGGATCAGGAGATAAATGAGGGTATGTGAAAAGGCAGTACACTAATCCTGGGTGACATTAATGTTAATGCAGATTGGGAAAATCAATTTGGCATTGGTAGCCACAAGGAAGAACTTGCAGAGTATTCAGCACAGTTTCTGGGAACAATATGTTGTAGATCCAACAGGGATCAGGATATTTCTTTAGGAATAGGGCTCGTGTTAGTTGGAATGGAGTGGGCAAGGAGTTCAGCAGAAAAGCTGGTTGAGATGCAATGGCAGACATTTAAGAAAATAGTTCACAATCAACAATGAAGAGATACCCCAATGAGGGAAGAGGAATTTGGAAAGGGAATAGACTAGTCATGGATTAACCACTTGAAGTGAAGGAAAGTATCAAATTCAAAGAAAACAAAATACAACGTGGCAGAGATTAGTGATAAACCAGGGGATTGGGAAAGTTATAAAAGTGGTTGCAAATAAAAGAGGGAGAAAACAAAACAAGAGGATAAATAGCAAATCATTTAAAAGGGACAGTAAGAGCTTCTTTAAAAATATGAAAAGGGAGAGACCAGGCATCCGAGAGAAAGAGGGTCAGGAAATAATAATGGGCAAACAGAAAGTGGCAGAGGAGTTGAGTAAGTACTTTGCATCAGTCTTCACAGTGGAGGACAGAAACAGTATTCCAAAAATACTAAATAATCAAGGGGCTAACGGAAGGGGAAGGAGGAAATAAACAGAAAAAAAACTGTCACTAGAGAAGAAGTACTTAGGGAGTAAGCTCCACATGGTCAGGAAGGTGAGATCATATCCAGAGTGAGACACTGCCTGAGTGAGTATATAGTTTGGAGAATTTCGAAGCAGTGTGGGAATTCAGTTCAGAGGGAAATGAGATGCTTTTTGCTTTTTTCTTTGGCTCACAGTTTATAAAGTTTGTTTAAACAGGATAAACTGAAGCCTCAGATCAGGGCCCAGCTCAAAAGAGTGGCATTACAGGTAAACCAAAAGTTCATTGCTTGGTGATAGCTACTAATTTGATTGCTTGTTACCGGTTACTTTCAGGTTGAAGGTAAACAGGAAATATTTACAAGCTACAAACTGAAAGACCAGTGCAACATTTTTAAAAGTCAAATTAAGAACTAAATAATTAAAATATAGATGCCAGGCCAGGCGATGTGTTGTAACTGCATGATATGGGAGCTGCTGGACCCCATTGTGGTTCATAGATGTTTCAGTAAGATCAGGGAAGGTGGTAAAAGAGGGGGAGGTGTGGCATTGTTAGTCAAGGACAGTATTACGGTGGCAGAAAGGACGTTTGATGAGGACTTGTCTACTGAGGTAGTATGGACTGAGGTTAGAAACAGGAAAGGAGAGGTCACCCTATTGGGAGTTTTCTATAGGCCTCCGAAAAGTTCCAGAGATGTAGAGGAAAAGATTGCAAAGATGATTCTGCATAGGAGCGAAAGTAACAGGGTAGTTGTTATGGGGGACTTTAACTTTCCAAATATTGACTGGAAACGCTATAGTTCGAGTACTTTAGATGGGTCAGTTTTTGTCCAATGTGTGCAGGAGGGTTTCCTGACACAGTATGTAGATAGGCCAACAAGAGGCGAGGCCACATTGGATTTGGTACTGGGTAATGAACCAGGCCAGGTGTTAGATTTGGAGGTAGGTGAGCACTTTGGTGATAGTGACCACAATTCGGTTACGTTTACTTTAGCGATGGAAAGGGATAGGTATATACCGCAGGGCAAGAGTTATAGCTGGGGGAAAGGCAATTATGAGGCGATGAGGCAAGATTTAGGATGCATAGGATGGAGAAGGACACTGCAGGGGCTGGGCATAATTGAAATGTGGAGCTTGTTCAAGGAACAGCTACTGCGTGTCCTTGAGAAGTATGTACCTGTCAGGCAGGGAAGAAGTGGTCGAGCGAGGGAACCGTGGTTTACTAAAGAAGTTGAATCTATTGTCAAGAGAAAGAAGGAGGCTTATGTAGAGATGAGGTGTGAAGGCTCAGTTAGGGCACTTGAGAGTTACAAGTTAGCTAGGAAGGACCTAAAGAGAGAGCTAAGAAGAGCCAGGAGGGGACATGAGAAGTCTTTAGCAGGTAGGATCAAGGAAAACCCTAAAGCTTTCTACAGGTATGTAAGGAATAGAAGAATGACTAGAGTAAGATTGGGGCCGGTCAAGGACAGTAGTGGGAAGTTGTGCGTGGAGTCCAAAGAGATAGGAGAGGCGCTAAATGAATATTTTTCGTCAGTATTCACACAGGAAAAAGACAATGTAGTCGAGGAGAATACTGAGATACAGTCTATTAGACTAGACGGGATTGAGGTTCATAAGGAGGAGGTGTTAGCA